AACATCAGGCTACTAGGGTTGAGTTTCTTTTGTTTCGGGCACGAAAGCCCTACTATAGGAAAGAGCTTAGAGATTTGTTAATTAAAATAATTTTTAATAAGAAACCTATCCTTGGAAGCCTTATGTTTTCAACTTAATAAACAGTTAAACCTGTCTATAGCGCCCCCTCTAAATAGCGCCTTCCTCTCTATTTCGCCCAATTTTAAATACGTAGTACGATGCGATTTACATTAAAAGTGACCTCTCTATAGCACCCCCTTTCTATATCACCCTATTTTGGTGAGTCCCAAGAGGGGGCGCTATAGACAGGTTTAACTGTATCTCAGAAATTAGACAGAACCAAACAACAAGATTTAGAACAGGCCATCTCAACAATTGAAGATAGAAAATAACAACAAAATCTATCCCACTTGCCCAAAATAGTAGTTTGGCACCTACAGCTCCAGAACACATTTTGGCTTGTATTAGATGTACTAAACAGGACCTTTGGGAGAGGCCGCTGCTTATCAACAAACAGCTAGAGGAGCATGAACTCCTGGAATTTGTGTAATCTTTGAACAAGGGGATGTTGTGCAAAGATAACACACTATTTATTTAGATTTACTCCTATATTTTGCATATTTTAAAAACATTATTGAGGTGATTTAATTCAATTCAATCACCCAGTCATGATCTCAAGCTTTACAAGTTTTTGATACCCTAATATGATTGAGTGGAGATAAGAAAGAAGAAGAAGAGTTCAATTAGAAGATTGCAAAGAAAAATTTTAGTTTCTTTTTTTTTTTTTACCACAAACCAATCATAGGGATGGAAAACCCTGCCTCTGGTGGCAGAAATTGGAACTATTTTTTTTTTCCCAAAAAAATGTTAGTCTAATTACAAGTTATTTTACTAAACCACATTAAATCGCTTATTTGTAGTGTAATCAACCAAGTACTACAAAATTAATGCAAATAAGCAATTTAATGTGTTTTAGTAAAATTTCATTGGAAGAAAAAATAGTTCTAGTTTCTGCCACCAGAGGCAGGGTTTTCCATCTTTACTGCCCCTATGATTGGTTTGTGGGGAAAAAAAAAACTAAATTTTTTTCTTAACAATCTTTTAAGTGAACCAAATCACCTCAATAATGTTCTAAATGTTTTAAATATATAAGATATAGGACTAAATAAATAGTGTGTTATAATTGCACAAGGGGGATAAGAAACAACAAAATTTTATATACAAATCTTACATTATTTTATGGGATTATGGTAGGTGAGAGTTATTGATGTCCCATATACATATCTACAAGGGTTGGCATACTACTTAGAAAGTACAGTAGAACTACCTCTGTAAAATGATAAAGCCAATTTGGTTTATAGATTATAGTTACAAGAAAATAAGACAAAATCCAAATAAATAGTTCTAAATTTTCTGATTTTATTCCTTTGTCTGATGATGGTAACAATACTGTTACTTAAACGTCGCACGCTATATACAAGGTATGTCCCATAAGTTCCCGGACTGGGTCCATAAAAAAATAAATAAATGAAAAATGTAAATGAATTTGACTATTTATTATAGAAAAAATATCTGTCTACACAGTGGTACTAATATCGAGGCGGTACTTGCGTGCGCGCCAAGGTTATTCTAATTTATTTAAAGGTCACACCTTTTTTTTATGGACCCAGTCCGGGAACTTATGGGACATACCTTGTATATATATTTTTTGCTTATCCCTAGTACACGTGGTACAGGCCATGATAATCATGGTGGGTAGTTAGCGACTGCTTTTACTGTAAGCGCACCACATGTCTGCACATGTGAAAAGCAGTTCGACTTTGCACTTACAAATGTGCCAGAGCTCCGTTTGGTTACTTGCACTCGCTGGTGGGGTTGGACTTTTGCAAGAATCGGGGGGCCATTGGAGCATTTTTTTTTTTTAAACAAAAAAAAGTGTCCAATGCGGGAATCGAACCCGGGTCGTAGTGGTCGAAAACCAAACGGTTTAACCAGCCTTCCACCGACCCCTTTCACACACTATTAATTTATTTGTATTAGGTCTCTCTTGTAGCTACTACCTCTGTAAAGGATAAACTTCAAAGTCGAGAGTCAAAAATGTTCTTTAGGGAGTGGTGTTGTCAAGAGTTGCTATTTAGTAAAAAATGGTAATTTAGATAAGATTTGATAGAATCTGGTCTTGTGATGGATTTGTTCAGTTTCTATTTAGTAGTCAGTTTTACAAGACCCTGGGAGGTTTGCTACATGTGATAGCAGTCAAAGAAAATAGAGTCAGTCTACACTTATGGACAAAACTTTTAAAAGTTTCATATTTTGATGTCGCCAGTCTTTTATTATTATTTTTTAAGGAAACGGAAGCAATTTTGTTCACACTTGGTTATCTCGTGTGTCTTCAATGAGGCTTCACTGTGTATTAAATAACTTTCAGAGTTATTGTATCGATATACATGCTAAAAGGTACAACTTCCTTAAGTTTTGTTCATGTGTGGAGATATTAAACAGGATCAGAGGCACTGTTAAAAAAAACACGAGATACATAACCTGTTGTAAAAGTGGGAAGGAAGAAAATTCAAGAATGAAAGATAAAGAATTTACATGATGAGGTTAGAAAAAAGGTGATGTATATCAGCCGATTTAACTAAGTTTTTGCAAAGATGTCTGTCTACCTTTGAGGTATAAGATACCAAATGCACTCATAGACAAAACTTAAGGAAGAGGAAAGTCTTTGATATCAACAGTTATCTATTTTTTTTTTCTGAGAGGCAATTTTGTTCATACTTGGTTATCTCGTGTGTCTTCAATAAAGATCACTGTAATATCTTTCAGAGTTATTGTCTGAATCCCGATATACATGTTAAAAGGTACAACTTCCTTAAGTTTTGTCCATGAGTGTATCTTTCAGAGTTATTGTCTGAATCCTGATATACATGCTAAAAGGTACAACTTCCTTAAGTTTTGTCCATGAGTGTATCTTTAAGAATTATTGTCTAAATCCCGATATATATGCTAAAATGTACAACTTCCTTAAGTTTTGTCAATGAGCGTATATTTCATAGTTATTGTCTGAATCCCGATATACATGCTAAAAGGTACAACTTCCTTAAGTTTTGTCCATGGGTGTATCTTTAAGAATTATTTTCTAAATTCAGATATACATGCTGAAAGGTACAACATCCTTAAATTTTGTCCATGAGTGTATTTCATAGTTATTGTCTGAATCCTGATATACATGCTAAAATGTACAACTTCCATAAGTTTTGTTCATGAATGTACAGTGTAGTCTTCCATATCCCAACTACCTTTGTAAAATCACAAAAAGGTATTCCCCAATGTAACCTTATCTATAAGATATACCTCCTGAAGAGACAAGGAGAATAAGTAACATTTTAGTACTGGTGTCATGGCAGGTTCTACTGAATTAAATACGCTGGAATATTTTCTACTGATTGTTCTGGAGTAAATGTTGTACCTTGTAAAAAAGATAAAACGTTCTGGAGGTGTTGTTTCTCATCAGCATGGCGCAAGCTGGACAACACCATCAAGATGTGGTTAAAACAGATTTCTAATAAATCAGTGAAAATATAGTTTGGTATATTGGGGGTTGGAATTCTATACTTGTGGTTGAGGAATGGCATCAATTTCAGTTGCATATTTCGACTTTATCAAAGTTCCTTAAATCATTTCGGGGTGTCAGGGATTCCCAGCTTTATAATCTACTAGCCGAATGACCCGGGCAACGCCCGTGTTTTACCCGATTGAATGTTTTGATTCAAATACTATTTGTTACAATTATAAATTGGCGCCTTAATTAATTGCATATGTTAGTTAATAACTATAGCCTATGTGCTTTATCTGTCTATGTACTGTTGACTTCCGTAGGCGTCTCTTACTGGGAAAAAGAAAGAGAGGATTCCATTTGGTTATTAACTAATATATGCATTTATTTAGGGAGCGACCCGCTCCAACACAATCTACTTATATATTTGCCTTATTCTGTCTGTTTGTCTGAAGCTCACGGATAGAATGCACGCCCATTGGCTGCCAGCGAACACGTGGCCTCCCTGCCCCCCTCTAGACAACCTTGTTATCAGCTGTGCGATACATACACCTATCTATAGCGGCCACTCTAGACAACCCTGTTATCAGCAGTGTGCTACATCCACCTGTCTATACAGACCACCCTGTCACAGCGGTCACACTAGGCAACCCTGTTATCAGCTGTGTGATACATCCACCTGTCTATACAGACCACCCTGTATATGGCGGCCATTCTAGACAACCCTGTTATCTTCTGAAAACCTGTCTATAGCGGCCACTCTAGACAACCCTGTTATCATCAGTGTGTTATATTCACCTGTCCATACAGACCACCCTGTCTATAGCGGTCACCTTAGGCAACCCTGTTATCATCAGTGTGTTACATTCACCTGTCTATACAGACCACCCTGTCTATAGCGGTCACCTTAGGCAACCCTGTTATCAGCAGTGTGATACATCCACCTGTCTATACAGACCACCCTGTCTATAGCAACCACTCTAGACAACCCTGTTATCAGCTGTGTGATACATCCACCTGTCTATACAGACCACCCTGTCAATAGCGACCACCCAAGACAACGTTTTTAAAATATATTCGCACTCGGGTAAACCCCGGGCGTTGCCCGGGCCTTTCGTCTAGTAGTTACATAAATAGCGAGTGGGGGGGGCAAAGGTGGCATGACCGTAGCCAACCAATAGGAGGGCGCCATTCCAAAAAAAAAGCAAACAGTGACAGAGAGAGATGACTGATTAGGAGATGAGGAAAGACGCTCGTAACTGTATATAGAATTCTACCATTAAACATTAATGTTTCTTTTACCTATAAACCAAACTTTCTACTGATAAGGCACAATTTGGATTATTAAAATATACAAGTATCAGAGTCATCAACAATTAATCAATTCTGTCACCGTTTGCTTTTGTGAATGGAATAAATACCCAAATATGGCCAATTCTTATAACCATCGGTGGTTCAGTGGTAGAATGCTCGCCTGCCACGCGGGCGTTTGATTCCCAGCCGATGCATTTTTTTTTTTTTTTACAATTTTTAAAACTCATTTATATTATTAAAATATACAAGTATCAGAGTCATCTCAATTCTGTCATCGTTTGCTTTTGTGAATGGAATGCTTTTACGTAATATACGTAACTAATATGACTGAAATTTTAGCAGTATGTATAGTAGAATCTGGAAAAACTTATAATGAATATTTCAGGTCTCTATCCCGAATATTCTTCGATTTATTTGCAAATTTGCTCGCAAGGAGCGCCTCTAGCGGTGAAGATGGGAGGTAATATCAGCTGACCTAATGTACATGTAAAACGTGTTTTGACAGGACATAGAGAAAAATATGGAAGAGATATTTGTCGCATTTTTTGCCAAGAAAAATTGAAATTGACAGGTTCTGGGCAAAAATAGTTGTTATTTTTTAGTCAGAAAATGATTATGACAATATTGCTGTATCATATTTGATTATCAGATACAAAATTATATCCGGAAAAATTCCAAAAAGCAGAGACCACGGGTGAAGCCAGTTCATTTTTAGTATGCAGGAACAAAATTCTAACAGAAAAACATTCATTCGAGCAGAAGACACAAGATCATCTCTTTATAAAAATATCGCTTCTCAGACACAAAGTTTGGAGCGGGACGTTTCACAAGAATGACATCCATGGCGCCAATTTATAATTGTAACGAATAGTATTTGAATAAAAGCATTTAATCAGGTAAAACCCGGGCGTTGCCCGGGTCATTCGGCTAGTAGATTATAAACACAAGGTATTAAGACCAAATCCAAATAAATAAAAAGTACTGAATTCATTCAGTACTTTTGTCTGAAGATGGTAACAATGCTGTTACCGAAACGTCACACACTGTTTATTTATTTGAGATTTGGTCATATTACCTTGTGTTTACAAACTTTCTACTGTCCTTACTGCGATTAAAAATAATGGGAGGGCTTGGCTCATCAGTAGTAAACCCTTCCACTATTTTCCCTCACAGTAAGGATAGTAGAAAGATTGTTTTGATCTTTTAGTCATATACAGTAGATGCTTCTGAGAGATACAGCAAAGTAGAGATTTGAAAAAGAGGGAGAAAGAAATTTACAAATGATAAGCTACAATTTGGATTATATATTGGAAACATAACATAGACACAATCATTCATAAGAGATACCCCAATAGGAAGCTCGTTTTTATACCATTGCAGCTGACTTAGTCTTCTTCTTTCTTATCTCAACCATCATGACTGGGTTAGGTAGAATGCCTTTGTCAATAAGACTGGGAGCACGACTCAGTAGCAGGCCGACTTAGCTCCAAAAGAAATGGCCGCCTCTGATATGAGGAACAGATGCCATGAGCAGCCATTCCTAACATGGAGTACAAACGCTGCTCATCCTGTATCCCTGAATTAGGAGCCCTTACAGGGTACTATCAGCCGGGCCAGCTGAGCCCAGGTTTTTATCTAACTTGTTACTGCTCCCCCTCATTATTTTTCATTTGGGGCTTGGGACCGGCAAAGACAGAGTTAGATTTATTAGTAGTGATCAAGATTGATAATCTAATCAATGATAATCATAAAACCGACGACATAGGATTCTGGCGTCAATATGTCGACTTTTGTATTTGCGACAGGAACTTAGTAGATGCAATATTAACCTCTCTCAATAATTACCCCATAGTGTCCTTTACCATTGAAAAAGCACAAAACCAGGTAATTCCGTTCCTAGACACTTTAATAATCCAACCCCCTAGCAGATACCACTGTGGTTTACAAAACATATTTCCTCCCCAACTACACACATCCTGCTTGTCTCCACAAAATTAACATTGTAAGAACTTTATCAAAGTGCATACACAGCCATTGTTCTCTTCCACTATTCCAATCAATAGAAAAACGTAACCAAACATCTTAATTCTGCCGGCTATCTGACATCCTTCGATTCAAAGCATTTTTATCGATCGCCAATATAATCCCTATTTTTATATGTGCAAAAACGTTTAACACACAATAGCTAAGAGAGATATTTATTTACATTATTATTGATACAATATAAGGCGGCTTGTGATTGTAAAACGACATTTGAAATACTATCCCGCATGTGTTTCTTTTCAACGAAAATTCAAAATTTATTTCAAGGAGAAATAACGATTATTTCTAACCTTTTGGATGAGGTATGAAAGGGTGAATTGTGAAGAGAAATGATAAACGGAAAAATAAAAGTGTCCAGGGATGGGAATCGAACCCACAGTGTTCCGCTTACCGGGCAGATGCCATGTCCACTAGGCTAGGAAATTCCCGGTAGGAAATTATTCTATAAAAATAAAGGTCGTTTCTTCCGTCAAAATAGACACTAAAACTAAGTACCATTTAGTGACCGTCTCCGCAAACTTGCGGAATCGCATTGAAGACAAAGCTACAACACCACCATTGTAAAACTGAGAATCGTTTACCTAGAGATCGTGGTTTCTGGCTAATGGTCCTAGGGCGTCCAGGGCGATAGAAGCGTTCAGATGGGGCTTAGTTTTATCGTCTATTTTGACTAAAGAGGCGACGTTTATAAATTATTATTATTGACTGTGTACATATAATTATTTAAGAGAATATTCAAAGAACAGCACAAGTTTAACATGGCATTTACAACTGGTTGGATCCCCCATTTGGTAACTTGTACTAATTGATGGGGCTAGACTTGTACACCAGTCGTGGGCCAATTGAAGCAAATGTTTGAAAGATAAAGTGCCCCATGCGGGATTCGTCCTGTGTCGGGTAACTTGTACTAATTGATGGGGCTAGACTTGTACACCAGTCGTGGGCCAATTGAAGCAAATGTTTGAAAGATAAAGTGCCCCATGCGGGATTCGTCCTGTGTCGTGGCTATGAAAAAAATCGGCAATGTATACTCATGGACAAAACTTAAGTGGAAAGTCTTTGATGTCGCTGGTCGTCTTTATATATTTTTTAAGGAGACAGAGGTAATTTTGTTTATACTTGGTTATCTCGTGTGTCTTCAATAAAGGTCACTGTAATATCTTTCAGAGTTATTGTCCTGATATACATGCTAAAAGGTACAACTTCCTTAAGTTTTGTACAGGAGTGTAGACCGTTACATCATCAACCACTTCCCCTATGTGTTTATAAAACTTGAGTATAGAAATTTTATACATCATATTTCTATTCATATAGAAATAACCAAAACTAAGTCTATAGACCTTAATGCAATACTAGGGAAAACAGCAAAACATATTTCTCTTATATAACTTTATTTATTATAATTTCTTTTCCCCTTGCTTTTCTATTCATTACTGTATCCCTCAGGAGAAACTGTATATACGACTAAAGGTCTTAATAAAGGTATTGATATTTGTTGTTAGGGAAATCGTTGGAGATTTTTGTTCAATAGTTATCCTGATATTAATGGCATGATCAGTAGCCCTAGTCATTAGCGAAGTAGAATATACACTCATGGACAAAACCTAAGGAAGTTGTACCTTATAGCATGTATATCGGGATTCAGACAATAACTCTGAAAGATATTACAGTGACCTTTATTGAAGACACACGAGATAACTAATATACACTCATGGACAAAACCTAAGGAAGTTGTACCTTTCAGCATGTATATCAGGATTCAGACAATAACTCTGAAAGATATTACAGTGACCTTTATTGAATACACACGAGATAACCAAGTGTGAACAAAACTAAAGGAAGTTGAACCTTTCAGCATGCATATCAGGATTCAGACAATAACTCTGAAAGATATTACAGTGACCTTTATTGAAGACACACGAGATAATAAAGTGTGAACAAAACTAAAGAAAGTTGTACCTTTTAGCATGTATATCAGGATTCAGACAATAACTCTGAAAGATATTACAGCGACCTTTATTGAAGACACACGAGATAATAATGTGTGAACAAAACTAAAGAAAGTTGTACCTTTTAGCATGTATATCAGGATTCAGACAATAACTCTGAAAGATATTACAGCGACCTTTATTGAAGACACACGAGATAATAAAGTGTGAACAAAACTAAAGAAAGTTGTACCTTTTAGCATGTATATCAGGATTCAGACAATAACTCTGAAAGATATTACAGCGACCTTTATTGAAGACACACGAGATAACCAAGTGTGAACAAAACTAAAGGAAGTTGAACCTTTTAGCATGTATATCGGGATTCAGACAATAACTCTGAAAGATATTACAGTGACCTTTATTGAATACACACGAGATAATAAAGTGTGAACAAAACTAAAGTTGTACCTTTTAGCATGTATATCGGGATTCAGACAATAACTCTGAAAGATATTACAGTGACCTTTATTGAAGACACACGAGATAATAAAGTGTGAACAAAACTAAAGAAAGTTGTACCTTTTAGCATGTATATCAGGATTCAGACAATAACTCTGAAAGATATTACAGCGACCTTTATTGAAGACACACGAGATAATAAAGTGTGAACAAAACTAAAGAAAGTTGTACCTTTTAGCATGTATATCAGGATTCAGACAATGACTCTGAAAGATATTACAGCGACCTTTATTGAAGACACACGAGATAATAAAGTGTGAACAAAACTAAAGAAAGTTGTACCTTTTAGCATGTATATCAGGATTCAGACAATGACTCTGAAAGATATTACAGTGACCTTTATTGAAGACACACGAGATAACCAAGTGTGATCAATATTGTCTCAGTCTCCTTTAAAACAACAGACGACCGGTGACATCAAAATATGAAACTCAGTAAGTTTGTCCAATAAGTGTAAGTATTTCGTATATCTCAAATTCGATTATTGTAGAAATTTGTCTTTTATAAAATATCAAATTGATATTTGCGGAAGAGCGATTGCTCGAAGCATATTATATATTTATAATTATATGTAATTCTGCTGTCCTAAAAGCTTATGTTCATAGTTCATCTAAAATACCCATTCGAAGAGTCAAGCATCAGTATAACTATAAAAGGAAGTTCCAAAAATGCAATATAACAGCGGTATGTTGGATTAAACTGGTGAAACCGCTGGGAGGGTTCACCACTGATGAGCCAGGCCCTCCCATTAATTTTTCCATTGCAGTAAGGACAGTAGAAATTGTTTATTTTAAAAAGAATATTACGCCTCTAAAATAGTTTTGTAATTTGATAACAGATGGCGCGCTAGTGCATCGTAATAAATATAATGTTTAATTAATAATTATTGGAATCAGTTTCATTAATAATTCTAAGCAAAAAAGATTCTTAGAATTAATTTAAAAATAAATTTATTGGTAACATAAATTTTACGAAATTTTAGAGAAATTAAAAGATATATGTAAGGATATAGAAATAATTGTTTTAGAGGTTATTTTATAAATACATGTTTTTATTTGAAATAAAACATTGTATAAAAATATTATTCTAAAATACATAGAGGGATCAGCAAACTTACCTCGGATAGCTTTTCGAAAACCTCTTTTATGTAAATATAATTTTTAATAAGCGGAAATATGTTTTGCATATCCGCGCGCTGCTACATGTTAAAAAATATATTTTAAAATGCCGGCAGCAATCAAGAATAGTTACAAAACTCAACAATAGATGGCGACACAGCGCGACAATTCACATATATTCCCCTTTTGTTATGCAAATTCATCTGTACATCACTGACAGATAGGCCTTTACCAAGGAAGGTAAATCCACCACAAAAGTGAAGCAAGTGTGACGTTCCCCCAAACAACCCCTTTGGTCCCACCCCCGTCCAGTGCCGGGTATATAAGCCGAACCGACCCTTAGTAGTTGCATGTAGAAGGCGGAATAAATTGTCTCGACCCTTAGTAGTTTACCCGAAAGGGGATCTGGTCGTTGACGTCCGCTCCACGTTGGGTTGACTCCAGGCTCCAGAACTTAGGGCCGCCTTCAACGTCGTCCACCAAATTCTGCCGCCTGGGTAACGGCTTTATTTGACGGACACCGCGTTGTCGTGTCGGCCCTTTGTTTTGTCACCTGTTTAGTCCCCCTCGCGGAGGGGGCGTCAAGACGACCTCTTCCTCTTTCGGGGTGTAGTGTAATCCGCCTCCACGTGGTGCACCCTGGGTAATGCTAAATGGATTACAACTTCCTGTCTGTATAGGGGCCTTTTTACATCACGTCAGGTCCATCTGGACCTTCGGTTTGTCAATACTGCCAGAGATAAGCTCGACGTCTACGTGGGATGAACAAACGGAATGGCTGGAATTCGCTGATGCACCGCTTACTTGAACATAGCCTCTCTGATAACGCCCATCTATATGTTAAAATGGGATATATTTCTAAATGTATTATTGTGTTTCACTTGAAAATACATAGTGTAATATACCTTATAATAATATTATAAAATACTTTATATATTTATAAATGTATGTAATTCTACTGTCCTCAAAGCTTTTGTCCATAGTTCTTCTAAAATACCCATTCAAAGAGTCTATCAACAGTATCACTATAAAAGGAAGCTCCAAAAATGCAATATAACAGCGGTATGGTAGATTAAACTGGCGAAACCGCTGAGAGGGTTCACCACTGATGAGCCAGGCCCTCTCATTAATTTTTCCATTGCAGTAAGGGCAGTAGAAATTATTTAACATCAAAAAGAATCTTACGCCTTTAAAATAGTTTCGAATTTTGAAAAAAAATACTCTGTTTAATTAATTTATTTTTGATTGTTTGAATTTGGCAGCACTAATAATTGTTGTTATGAATATATTAAAAAGTGTATGTTTGACTTTAAAAAGATATATAATTAAAATTTGTTTCTTAATTTGGTAAAGCATATTTATTTATTTAATCGAAGAGAGAGAGAGAGAGAGAGAGAGAGAGAGAGAACGCTTCACGATTTTGCGTGTCATCCTTGCGCAGGGGCCATGCTAATCTTCTCTGTATCGTTCCAATTTTAGTATATGTACCGCCGAACAAGCGTGTACGAGAGAGAGAGAGAGAGAGAGACAATTGACAATTGAAACACTTTTATTGACGTCTAGTCAATTTTTACAAAATGATTATGATAAAAGTAATGAATAAATAATGGGAATTTACAATGATTTTAGGAGCTAGGGAGGCTCCACCACCTTGACAAGGTTCTCCTCCAGACAAGGAGGGGGTCTTCTTGGACTCCCCGCATCTCCAGGCCCAGGAAGTGCTTGTAGATGCGGGTCTTGGCGGACGCCATGATGGCCAGGGCGTCGTCCTCCAGGTCATGTCCGAAGATCCAACTTTGCAGGTCAGGAGGCCGTTGGAGGATGGTGAAGGCCTCCAGGATGACAGGCCTGATCCGACTACA